CTCACCATCTGTGCTGCGCAACCTCACAGGCAGCTCCGGCCCCGCCCACTGCTGCCCGCGGGACCAGCATCTGGCTCTCACCTGCGCCAGCCCCCCTCCCCCAGGCCCAGCCAGGGTCCCAGCGGCCCCTCTGAAGTCTGGGGGTGGGCTGGACCGGGAGGGAGGAAGACCCCTGAGCAGCACGTGTCTGGGCTGCCTGGTTGCGGAGCAGAGGGGCAGGCCAGCGACGGAAGTCCCTCCTCAGCCCCCCGGTGGGGGGCCCAAGGGCGTGGGGACCTTGGCCCACGCGGCAGCATGCTGACGGGGTAATGGCGGCTGCTGCTGCAGCTGGGAGGAAGCAGGGTCCTTCCTGTCCCCCCCAAAGAGAGTGACCTCCCTCGCTGCTGGAGGAGCCCAGGTCTCGGGCAGAACAGGTGCGCAGAGCGGGACTGGCTGGGAGGAGGGAAGAGACAGCAGGTGGGAGGGCCCGGGCTGGTGAGTCTGGGCCTTGTGCCTCCTGCGGGTCGCTCCGGGGCGGGCAGCCAGATGCCTGGTTTGGGCCTGACTGGGTTTCAGCCTCCTGTCTGTGGTCGCTGTGTGATGTGGGGCCCATGGCTGCGTGGCCTGGGCCCCTAGTTCCCCCTCTGTACCATGGGTGACAGCAGATTTAGCAAATAGAACTTGGACAGTGGTGGTTTTTTTAGTATACCAAAATCCTGCGTGGTTTATCTGCGGTTCCCACGCAGCCGGCGATCTGGGTCATCGGATGAGAGCCCTCCACAGAGCTCATGGGGGACGGGCACTGACGTGCGATCTCATTTCATCTCACCAGGAACCTTCTGAGCGAGACAAGCAAGCTCGGCCAGCAGGGGGCAGGCGTCCGGCACCTGCGGCCATGGTCCCTCGTTCTCTGGCTTAGACTGGCTCTTTCTGGCTGGGACTCCTGCGGATCTGGTGGGCTGGGAGGAGAGAGAGGGGGCCCCCACCCTGGCCCTGTGCCTCTGCGGGGCTCTTACCGTCACCGCATGCGCCACTGTCAAGCAGCAGGCGAGGCCCAAGACGGTCAGCTCCAGGCGTCCCATGGTGTGTGTCTGTGTCTGGGTGGCTCTCCCTGGGGGCCTTGGGTACTTATGGAGCAGGAGTCAAGGTCACATGCTTGTGCGTGTGCTGGCAAACACACACACACAACACACACGGGTGCAGAGACGCCGCACCTTTCCCAGGCTGGCTGCTCCCGAGTGCCCGACGCGCACCTTGCACCTGTGCAGGTGACGGCCCACCTGGGAGCAGAGACAGGTGCTGCCCAGGCCAGGGCCGGGGCCTGGCTGGCTGCCGGGTACCCTGTGTTCAGGCTCACACACAAGGGCAAGGGGTGTGTTTCGTCTCCATGACCCGACTGCCCGGGCGTGAGGCTTCTGGGCCACAGGGCTGAGCCTTGTCCTGGTGAGTATGTGCTGATGACTGGGTGTGTGTGCGGAGGGGAGGGGGGCGGGGTGCAGAGCAGCCCACAGCAATGAGGGCAGGCAGAGGGGCTCAGGGCAGACGCAGGGATGGGCAGAGAGAGCCAGAGCCAAGGGAGGAAGAGGACGAGACAGGAGAGCGAATTGAGCACGGGGATGAGACGATTGGACAACAGTTTTGTGCGTGTGGGTCGCTCTGGTAACCCGAAATGGTCATTAAGACCATCGTGGACAAAGCCTTCTGGGACCAGCTGGCCGTGACCTGCTGCACAGCCCCCTCAGAGGTAAGGACGGTGGCCACCCCTCCCCGAGCCGATGCTGACACCCAGGGCTCTCGGCTCATCCGAGGGTCTCACCGTGCAGCTGCCGCGTCAGCACGGCACAGGCCGGTTCCCCTGCCCTCAAAGTCCACCGAGGCGCCCGCTCATCCCCGTAACCCACGGATCTGGTGCCCTGTCCCCATAGTTCTTCTCCCAGAAGCAGAGGTGGGGTCAGCAGTGGGCAGCCTGCCCACTCCCAACTTGGGAATGGGCGCCCCCTGTCTTTTCTGCGGCTCTCAGCTCATTCTTCCATTGCTTCTGTGTCCATTCACCGATCGCTTGCGGGGTTCAGCGACCGTGAATGAAGCTTCCATGTGCACCTGTGGCGGGCGTTTGTGTGGCCAAGTGGCCAGGCACTAAGGAGTGTGGCTGGCGGGCCGTGCAGTGAGGGGTGCTTCGGGCTGCAAGAAACTTCCAGGTGACCTCCGGACGTGGCTGCACCATTGTCACTGCCGCCCACAGTCCTCGCCGGTGCTTGGTGCTGCTGGTTTTTTGGATTTGGGTCATACTGGCAGGTGCACAGTGGGTCATTGTTGTCTGTACTTCCTGGGTGGCTTATGATGTAGGGATCTTCTCTTTTGGGTTTTGGTACCTGCTGGTCTTTATATATGATTTATTGGGGGGCCAGACCTGTGGTGCAGTGGGTCAAGCCGTGGCCACAGCACCAGCATCCCATATGGGCGCCGGTTCAGGTTCCAGATGCTCCACTTTTTTTTTTTTATTAATTTTTTTGACAGGCAGAGTGGACAGTGAGAGAGACACAGAGAGAAAGGTCTTCCTTTGCCGTTGGTTCACCCTCCAATGGCCGCTGCGGCCGGGGCACCGTGCTAATCCAATGGCAGGAGCCAGGTACTTATCCTGGTCTCCCATGGGGTGCAGGGCCCAAGCACTTGGGCCATCCTCCACTGCACTCCCTGGCTACAGCAGAGAGCTGGCCTGGAAGAGGGGCAACCGGGACAGAATCTGGTGCCCCGACCGGGACTAGAACCCGGTGTGCTGGCGCCGCAAGGCGGAGGATTAGCCTAGTGAGCCGCGGCGCCGGCCAAGATGCTCCACTTCTGATCCAGCTCCCTGCTGATCTGCCAGGGGAGGCAGTGGACGATGGCCTCGATGCCTGGGCTCCTGCCACCCACATGGGAGACCCAAAAGAATCTTCTGGCCTGGCCCGGCCCTGACTTTTGTGGCCATTTGGGGGAGTGAACCAGCAGATGGAAGATCTTTCTCTGTCTCTCTCTCCTTCTCTTTGTATCTCTTTCAAATAAATAAATCTTTTAAAACCTTATTATTGAAAGACAGGTAGAGGAGGGCAGAGAGAGACAGACAGAGAGAGACAGAGAGAGAGAGAGAGAGAGAGAGATTTTCATCTGTTGGTTCACTCCCCAGTGATCACAATAGCAGGGCTGGGCCAGACCAGAGCCGGTAGCCTAGAACTCCATCCTGGTCTCCTACATGGATACAAGGGCCCCAGGACTTGGGCCAACTTCCACTGCTTTCCCAGGCCAGAGCAGAGAGCTGGATTGGAAAAGGAGCAGCCAGGATTCGAACTGGCACCCACATGGGATGCCGGCACTGCAGGCAGAGGTTTAGCCCACTGCTCCGTAGCACCGGCCCCCAAGGTTGCTTTGAAGTAAGTACCAGCAGGTAAATAACAGTGTTAGAGATAGTTCCCGCCCAATATCCATTCTCTCGTCTTCCTTAGGAGCATTTGTTTGTTTGTTTAAATATTTGAAAGGCAGAGTTACAGAAGCAGAGGCAGAGAGAGGTCCAAAGCCAGGAGCCAGGAGCTTCCTCCGGGTCTTCCCACGCAGTACAGGGGCCCAAGGACTTGGGCCATCTTCCACTGCTTTCCCAGGCCACAGCAGAGAGCTGGATCGGAAGTGGAGCAGCCGGGACCTGAACCGGCGCCCATATGGGAGGCTGGCACTGCAGGCGGCAGCTTTACCCGCTACAGTGCCGGCTCCAGGATCATAGTTTTGTGCAAGGACCATTTCTGCCTCTTAGGGTCAGATGGGCCTGTGTGACCAGTCTGCTCACTGGGATGCGACACGGAGACCGTGGTGGGTGGACTCCTGGCAAGTGTCGGAGACCCGTCTTGGTTGGGTTTTGTTCAATTACCGTTTAGAAAGGTTTTTTGAAAGACAGAGGGAGATTCCCTTGTATGGGTGTGCTCCCCAAACGCCCTCTACCACTAGGTCTGGGTCAGGCCCAAGTTAGGAGCCCAGAACTGATTCCGGGTCTCCCACCTGAGAGTCAGGGGCCCGACGGCCAGAGCCGACGCCTGCGGCGGGGCGTCGTCTGCTTCCCCAGGTGCGGCGGCAGACCAGGGAGCTGCGTCAGCGGAGCGGCCAGGGCTCCACTGGCACTCACATGAGGCTGGCGGTTTATAGAGAAGAGCTGGAGTCTGACCCCAGTGTGGAGGCCCACCAGGGCAGCGCTGGCACCTGCCTGGCTTCCGGGGCCTCGGCCTGCTTCATCTCACGGGCAGTCAGAAGGGGTGGAGGCAGGCGTTTGAATTCTCCCGTTCGAGACAATCGGGAACTGGAAGAGGTGACGTTGTGTTTGGCGCTGCGATGGTTAACCTCAGGTATGTCAGATGGAACTGGGGCAGGGGCTTAGCCTGGCCGGCAGGATCCCACAGTGGCGGTTTGAGGCCAGCTTCCCGCTGACGGGCACCCTGGGAGGCAGCTCAAGCGGTTGGGTCCCTGCCACCCGCCAGGAGCCTGGTGGAGTTCCTGCTGCTGGCTATGGGAGTCAGGCGGGTGTTCTCTGTTGCTCCCTCATTAAAGAAAAAAGAAAAAAAAGGTGGATCCTGGCACTCAGATTTGTGTGTCCCTGTGCAGGTCTGAGTGGACTCAGCAGAGCACACTGGCCCGCAGGCGGTGGCGTTCTCACCCCCGGGGGTCACGATGGCTCTCGGTTGGGCAACCCCCCAGGGCCAGCACGAGTATGGGTCACACGTGGGCAGCCAGGAGGCTCTCCTTGTCCGCATGGCCTCCTACACAGCCACCGAGATTCCGTCACGGGACCCACGCAGCCAGCAAGCCAACCCGACCCACTGGCTTCCCAGATTCCCACCTTCTGCCCTGCCTGCCTGCGCACACACAGGTTCACACATGCGCACACACGTGAAAGATACACACGCATGTAGAAGAGACACGCACCCGTGCACACACGAGTTGTTCCTCTGGAGAACCCTGGCCGGTACGTGTGATGACCGCTGGCACAGTTACATAAGCAGTCCTTGCGTGTGGGAATTACTTTAATTTCAGCGAAACACACACAGGGAACCAGAGACGTGAGGGAGCAGACACAGCAACTGTGGCCATGACGCCCGGAGACGGACAGCTGGGCTCGACAGGAAATGCCCGGTGCTTCCTGGGACCTCGGCTGAGAGGAAGCGCGGACCGTGTGACATCGGGTAGACCCCGGGAGCCGGGACCCAGCCCTGCCCTGGGCTCTGGGCGGGGCGTCCCATGCCCCTGCCCACCTTTCTCAGGCTCACAGAACCAAGGTGGCCCCTGGGGTGGGCCCAGAACCTGGCCACCCTCCCTCTGAGGCTCCCGCAGGCACAGGCGCAGCAGAGCTGCAGCGAGGACGCAGCTGCTCCCAAGGGAAACCCCCGGGACAGGAAGTGGGACGCGGGGCGAGGCCTGGGCCAGCTCGCTTCAGGCCACAGCTGCTTCCCGCTGCTGGGCTGGCTTCTCTGCAGGCTATCGGGGTCATCAGCTGGCCTGCTTCCCTCTACGAGGTCGGTCCCCAGGGCCGGCCACTTCCAGTGCTGGTGATCCCGGGACCCCTGGTCTTGTGGGGCGCCCGACAGGACAGGGCTGGCCTGAGGCATCTGGCCACAGCAGCGCCATGACCCGGTTCTGCACTGCAAGCCGCTGAAGGGTCTTGGGGTCACTAGACGCCAGGGGACGGGTGGCCCGTCTCTGGTGCAGTCCAGGGCAGTGGGCTTGGCAACGGTCAGGTCTCTGTGGTTTCACCCGGCAAAGCCGTGAGAAAACGGAGCTCACCCACCTGGAGCAGTCAGGACAAGGTCTGGGCCTGGGGTGGCTCCCAGCTGTCCTCAGAGGGCGACACAGGCCTGACCCCAACTGTCCCCCACTGCTAGCAGGAGACAAATGAGGCTGTCCCCGGGGCCTGAGGAAACGCGCCTGTGGCTCCAGCCCTGGCCGGAGACACTGACTTCTCGGGAACACTGATTCAGTCCAGGACACCTCCAGCTGGGCCTGGCTTTTGCCAAAGAATGGGACCCAGAGCCACGCACGGTCCCTGGCCGTCTGTGACCACAGGTGAACCTGGCTCCCCAGGCTCTCTGCCACCAGCACCACAAGGTCAAGCTAAGACTGGGCTCAGTGCCAGCTACACCATGTCTGCCGCCTCAGCCCACGAGGCGCTGGTCAGGGTGCTCAGGGCCAAGGGTGTCCCCAGCCACCCAGGGCCAGTGGCCCCACAGAGCAGGTCACAGCCAGGGCCAGCTGCACCCTTTGCTGAGGGACCCCTGGGGCCCTTCTGACTCCCATGGGTGGCACTGGCAGCCACGGCCTGCCCCAGCCGCCACATCACCCTGACAGCAGCCCTGGCCGGGGCAGTCCAGCCTTGGGCCCTGGGCCTCGTCACACATAGTCCAGAATCTCCGTCTCCATCTCGTTCTCACTGCCGTCCGACGGCTTGAATTCCTCCTCCTCCTCTTCCTCGTCCTCCTCCTCCTCCCCGGACTCGTAGGTCAGCTGCTCCTTGCCGCTGTCAGCCTTGGCAGGGCTGGAGAAGAGGGCTGGGCGAGAAGGGGACAGGGCCATGTGTGTCTCAGCGCGGGCTTCGGGGCGGCCCCGGCCGGGCTGCAGGTGCCCGGAGCAGGTTCCCGATGCAGCCACTGGGCTGCAGCTCTGAAGAGGCCGCGCTCAAGTGTGGGGGTGCCAGGAACCCACAGTCTCACCAGCACCGCAGGGGATACCGAGGCAGACAGGCTGGAAGACCACTTCCCGGAAGAGCCACGGGGGCTGCAGAGCCTCGGCCCCCTCCCTGGGGGCAACACAGGGGGGCTGTGTCCACGTCCAAGACAAGGCTAAGAAGCCCGGCTCCAGCTGGACTGGGGGAGCGTGGCTGGGCCTGGGCCTGCTCCTCCCCCGCTGGGGGCAATGCCCTGAGAGGGGCCCTCGTGAGCTCCCAGCTGCTCAGACCCTCGGCCCGCCAGTGCTCTCGCCGCCTCTGGCCCGGGGAAGGAGCCGGGCAGCCGGCCATGGGCTCCTGCGTCCCTGCTCCCCGAGAAGCTGGGAGGTGGAGGACAGGCCCTGGTGTGGCCCTACAGAACCCCCCACGGGCAGGTGTGGCCCCTCAGACCCCCCACGGGCAGGTGTGGCCCCTCAGACCCCCCACGGGCAGGGGCGGCCCCTCAGGCCCCCCACGGGCAGGGGCGGCCCCTCAGACCCCCCACGGGCAGGGGCGGCCCCTCAGAACCCCCCACGGGCAGGGGCGGCCCCTCAGACCCCCCACGGGCAGGGGCGGCCCCTCAGAACCCCCCACGGGCAGGTGTGGCCCCTCGGACCCCCCACGGGCAGGGGGGCCCCTCGGACCGCGCGCAGGCCTCACCAGGCCTCCTGGCACGGATGGTGTGCCAGACCATGAGCGACATGGTGTCCCGCAGCTCGTCGCTGGTCTTGGGGAGGCACCAGCCGTCCCGCTCCGTGCACAGGCTCTCGGCGCCGTCGTTGCGGTGGATGATCCTCTGCAGCCTGCACGGGGACAGGGCCGGGTGGAGCGCGCAGCACGGCCCCCCGGGAGCCACAGGTGGCGCCCCGCCCCACTCGGGTCTCAACCCTGCTCTTGGCTGACGGCGCTAAGGGCGAGTGACAAAAGGTGCCAGGGAGCCCGGCCGACCTGGCGTAGGCATCACGTCCCACGCCCTCCACGGCAGCTCGGGCCTGGCCAGGGTCCCCCACTCCCAGGCGGCTACGCCCCCCATGGACAGCCAGACCCTGGCCCCAGGCGACCGCCCAGCACTGCCCGAGTCCCTCAGGGCCCGCACGTACTCGTCCACGTTCAGGTCGCACAGCTGGTAGAACATCTGTCGATAGGGCGGCAGGGCCCCCTCCCGGAAGATGTAGACGGAGTCCTGGGGACAGAGGGCGCGGGTCAGGGGAGGGGAGCTGAGCCCCCCACAAGGACGTCTCCGAGGGATCCGCCAGTGCGCCGGCCCAGGCTGGCCGCGGACTGAGAGCGCAGGCTCGGACTCTCCGGGAGGTTCTGGCCGGGGTGGGGCCGGGCCTGGGCCCCGGGAGGGTGGCCTTGCCAGCTTTCCTCCAGAAGGACCGGGGTCTGTCGAGCGCCTCTTCTCTCCCCACCCCGCACCAGCCCTGGCAGAGGAGCTGCCCCAGAGCTGAGCGCGGGGAAGCCACTGCCGCACCACCCCCACCGCCTCACTTTGTGCCAGCCCCGCCCGCTCAGCTCCGCAGGGGTGACGGCCCCCGTGGGGACAGGAGACCGCTAGGGCTGCAGTTAGAAGCAGCCACGCAGCGCGGGGCTGTCAGCCTTCCCTCCCTCAGACAGCGCTCGGCCCTGCGGGGTGGGAGGCGGGAGGGCGGCTCCAGGACACCCACCTTGAGCTTGTATTTGTTGGAGGCGGATTTCTGTGGGTCAGCCGTCCCGGACGGGCCCGCGTCCTGCTTCAGCTCGTGCGTGGTGATGAGCTGGCTGGCTGTGCGGGGACAACGGCAGTGCTTTGGCATCTGGGGCGCGTGTGCTGGGGGGCTCTCCTGACCACCTGCCTGCCCTCCTGCCTGCCCCCCCCAACAGGCAGGAAGGGCCAGCAGCGCCCTGGAGCGACCCTGGGAAGCGCCTCCCCTCACTGGCCAGACGCCCACCTTCCTTGTCGTGGGCCTGGGGGCCGGTCACTCCCGACCCACAGGACGGGCCTGGGGTGCTTACCCGTCTTTTTGACGGTGATGGGGAGGCTGTAGTTGTAGGCGCTGCGCTTTGCTTTGACAGGCATGTCACCGGGGGCGTAACCTGCAGACGAGGGCGGCTGTGTCGGGGCAGGCGCAGGGCCGCTCCTGGAAACGCCACCCCCGGCTGCCACGCCGCCACCACGCCCAGCACTGCCGCAGGCACCCGGCCCCTGGCGCAGGAGCACACTGAACGCGGGACTGCGGGACAGAGCTGGGGCCTTCCTTGTTCCTATGCTACTCTGTGTCCAACATCTCACCAGGGAGGGGCTTCTTTATCCTCTCCATGCGAACACTCTTATTACAAAAGCAAACACTAGAAACAGAAATGCAGAGACAGAGAGAGAGAGAGAGCACGCGCGAGCGAGAGCCTCCCGTGGTGTTTACCGTATTTCATTCCACAGCGGATTCGGAAATCAAGCACTTGATAAACTTTGGCATCCGGGTGCTTGCGGGGGTCGTACCCGAATCGGATCCACAGGCTTCTCCAGGGGCCTGTTATCTGCAGAAAAGGGTGGGCGAGTGAGCGCGGCCAAGCTCCGGGTGGGCTCCGCCTCCTTGCACAGGTCACTGGGTCGCAGCACGTGTGAGGGTTTTGAGATCAGCTAAGGTCACGCCCAGGGAGCCTGCTCGTGGGGCCCGGCCCCTCACCAGTGTCCAGCGCTCTCACTGCCCCAGCCAACTGGCACGAGTAGAGGACTTGCATCGAAAACTAGAGTTTAGGGGCCGAGGGGGCTTTCCAGTGGGTGGGCCCAACAGGATGGAGGCACAGCCTCTCCCAGGCTGCCCGCCTGCTGCCGACCCCACAGTCAGGTCTTAGGCCAGTTCCCTAGTGCTCTTTGTGGGGGCTCCGGGCCCCTTAGGGGACCTCAGCCCCAACAGCCCCTACCTGTGCTCCCTGCCTGGGCTGAACCAAAGGTGGACCTGCCCCCACGGAGCCCCACTCAACACCAGCAGAGGGCACTGAGCTGGGGCCTGGGCCCTGGGCTCTGCAGCCAGGCAGGCTGGGCCAGGTGGCGTTTTCCCAGGGCTAAAGCAGACTGCAGGGAGGAACCACGGATGGGAGGTGCACACGGCCCCTCAGCGGTCATCGCTCCTGCATCCCCAGTCATCCAGACGTGGCCAGCTCTGTCACAGAGGCTGCAAGACCGGGCCTCCTGCTCTCCCACAGCTCTCAGGTGCCAGGCGTGGGGGTGCGGGCTGAGGACCACCTGGTGGCAGGCCAGCCTCACACTCACCATGTAATAGGCTATCAAGGGGCGGGCCGGCCTCACACTCACCATGTAATAGGCTATCAAGGGGCGGGCCGGCCTCACACTCACCATGTAATAGGCTATCAAGGGGCGGGCCGGCCTCACACTCACCATGTAATAGGCTATCAAGGGAAGCAGGATCTTGAGCTTGTCGGGGTGGATGCTGATGTTGGCCTTGACGGCGTTCCGGGACCAGATGGGACGGACGTCGAACAGCTGGGAGGGTCAAGGGCAGGGGCCGAGTGAGAGACAGCAGCCTCCAGCCCTCAGAGCCCACCCTCCCCAGCAGGCTCGGGGTCACAGGAGCCCCTCCAGAGGGCAGTCAGCGATGAGCAGGGCCCAGGCTCCCCTCAGAAGTGTGGCTGCACGCCACACAAGCCAAGTGCAGCTGGGGGTCCGAGGGCCTCGGTCGGGAACTAGCCAGAGCACCGGGACCCCTAACTTAAAGGGCGGGCGCCTGCGCTGGGACACCGTGACGACAGGCGGGGCGGCGCTGGCCCAGTGGCCACAGAGGGGAAGGTCAGGGCCGACACGGCCTTGTGAGCCTTCAGTTGGGAACCTGGCCGTGTCCAGGGGCAGTGCAGAGACATCAACAAACTCCACGCAACAACCTCTGGGCACCAGCCGCCCCAGGGAGCAGCTGGGTCAGCAGCGGCAGCCACGGGGGCACCTGCTGTTCATGTCTGTGGGGACACGACAGGGGCCCCATCTGTGGCTCTCACAGCACGTGCAGCTGCGGGAGGGGGTGGCTGCCCATGACAGGGCCCCAGCTCTAACAGTGGCTGTGGTGCCGGGACCTGGCAGACGGGCACTCCCGCTGGTCTGTCACCCCCAGGGAATGGACAGATGATGCTCAGGCGACCCAAGAGCTGCACTCCCAAGTCACCGTCTGACAACGCACCACCCTCACCAAGGGACCTGCTGCACTTGCAAGCCTGGGAACGCGGGGCTCGGCTGACTCCTGGCGGGGACGAACTCCCACAGACTGACGAGCAGGTGTGAGGGCGGGCGGGCTCACCTTCCGCAGCCCCCCCTCTGTCTTCTGATCCACAGGGTTGCTGCACACCTTCCTCCAGGTCTGCACCGCGGCCTCCAGCGGCTGCACGGGCACCTCTTCATCCTCAAAGTTGACAAAGATGGCGTTGTGGGGGCGCCGGGCCCTGCTCAAGCCAATGAGGTTCTCGCCCGAGAGCGGGGGGTTGTTGTAGCCTTCCCTGGGGAAAAGCAGCTGGTGAGGGTCCGGCATGGAGAGTGGTCCCAGCGGGGGGCCAGCAGCACCGTGGCCATGAGCGGAGCCCAGGGCTGCTGCCCAAGGAGCCTGGCCAGGGGCTGCCAACAGGGGAGGAGGGGCCACGACTGCCGATGGCACCCGAGGCAGGTCAAGGCCCAGCGGGCCCAGAGGCCGGGTGTGGGAAAGGTGCCGCTGTGAGGCCAGCAGCACCAGCACCGAGTCCTGCACAGCCACAGCGAGAGGCACAGGACAACGGCCATGCTTCCTGACAGCCCACGACTCACTTCCTGTCCCTCCACAGCCTCCCAGATGCACAAACCACTGTCCGGTGGAGTAACTGAGGCCGCAGGAAACAGGAAACCTGGGCAGAGACAGGCTTCTGATAGAGGCCCCGGGACCCAACCCAGGGGCCTGGAGCGGGTCTCGCCCAGCACCTGTGCTGCTGCCTCAGGTTCACTTCGGCGGACGCGAGCGGATGGAGGACCCCGCCCGCCCAGCGGCAGGAGCAGAGCCCAAGGCCAGGCTCCACGGGCCACACCCACAGGACATCCGACGCAGAACTCTGGGAGGCGCGGAGCCGTGCGGGGCTCCGGCCAATGTTGCAAATGTACCCCCTGGGGCGCTGACCGTGGGGGACACTGCCCACATGTGGTGGGACTGGATGGGGAACCTTTCGCTGTAAACATACAGCTGCTCTAAAAAATAAAATCTTTTTTTTTTTTATTTGACAGATAGAGTTAGACAGAGAGAAAGAGAGACAGACAGAGAAAGATCTTCCTTCCGTTGGTTCACCCCCCAAATGGCTGCTACAGCCGGAGCTGTGCCGATCCGAAGCCAGGAGCCAGGTGCTTCCTCCTGGTCTCCCGTGTGGGTGCAGGGCCCAAGCACTTGGCCATCCTCCATTGCCTTCCCGGGCCACAGCAGAGAGCTGGCCTGGAAGAGGAGCAGCCAGGACTAGAACCTGGTGCCCATATGGGATGCCGGTGCCGCAGGCGGAGGATTAACCAAGTGAGCCACGGCGCCGGCCCTAAGAAATAAAATTTTAAAAGCATGCAAACAAAGCAGGGTTCCAGAACTGTCCATGGGGCCCAGGCAGATGCTGCCCCTTCTTGGACGTCAGAAATGGTCAACTAAGACCAAAGCAGGGAGACAGCCATGAAGAAGCCACAGCCCGACAGTCTCCCAAGGCCCCCGGCCCCCCTCCTTGGCTCTTCCACATCTCCCACACCCTGCACACCTGCTGAGGCACTCAGACATGCATTCATTTTTTTTTGAAAGATTTATTTCATTTATTTGGAAGGTAGAGTTACAGAGAAAAAGGGTGTGGGGGAGACAGAGAGAGATTTTTCCATCCACTGGTTCACTCCTCATGGCTGCAATGCCCATGGCTGGGCCAGGCCAAAGCCAGGAGCTCGATCTGGTCTCCCACGTGGGTGCAGGGGCCCAAGCACTTGGCCAGTCCTCTGCTGCTTTCCCAGGTGCATCAGCAGGGAGCTGGATGGGAAGTGGAGCAGCCGGGACTCGAACCGGTGCCCATATGGGACGCTGGCGCTGCAGGCAGTGGCTTGACCCACTGTGCCACAGCGCTGGTCTTGGACTCCAGTTTCGCGGGGTGAGTGCTGCCGCTTGTGTTTGTTTCTACCTCATCTTTTCCTGCACAATTATGTCACTTGTGCACTGCGACAGGGACAGTGAGTCTCGGGTTAGGGGACAAAACCCACAGGGGAGACCACCACGCCTGAGCCTTCCGAAACGTGTACTGTCTGTCAGGATCGCCCTGAGCGGCGTGGATGGCGTCGTCCCCGGCAACACCGGGGTCCCTGACCGCAGGGCAGCCTCCAGTCTCGGCCGCTCGGCTTTCAGCCCAGCTCCCTGCCAACGCACCTGGGAGGCAGCAGCGGTGGCTCAGGGGCTTAGGACCCTGCCACCCAGGTGGGCCCAGATGGAGCGCCCGGCTCCTGGCTTCGGCCTGGCCCAGCCCTGGCTGTTGCGGCCACTTGGGAAGTGAACCGGCAAACGGAAGACCCCCCCCCCCACCGCTCCCTCCCCTCGTGCATCACCCTGCCTTTGAGTGAAAATAATTCTTAAACAAACAAAAACCACTGCCCTGAGCAAGTGCCACACTGCCCTGCTCTGGGGGCTCCTGCCGCCCTGCGTAGCCCACGAGGAGAGCCAGGCACTGCCGTGGACAGCAGGCGGTGGGCACAGGCACTGCCGTGGACAGCAGGCGGTGGGCAGCTGCCTGTGCCTGTCACTGCAGAGCAAGGGCCCTGCCCGCGCTGGGGCTGTGTGTGTCCCTGTCACTCTAGGCGCACGGGGGGACGGCTGGCAGGGGTCTCTCAGCGACACCACCCTGGGGGGCTCCTGCGCAGGTGGGGCCCCGTCAGGCCAGCCTCCTGCCTCCCCCGTCTACCTGGCACGAGGAAGCCCAACCTCACAGGACCCAGCTGCCGGCCCGCACACCCAGGGAGGCCGGCGGAGCAGAAAAGTCAACAGCACCCTGGGAGAAAGGACAGGTTCTTTCCACACGCTGAGTCTCCGGGCCAAGAGCACGCGCCCTCCGCCTTGGCTCACCCCGGAGGCTCAGAGCCAGGGTGCCGTGGCGGGGGGGGTGCTCTCGTCCCAGCACCCTGTTCCTCACCAGCGAGCAAACTGCTTGGTGTGGGGACACTCCAGGGCCATGCAGGCACAGGAGGACCGGCTCGCCCTGGGTGGGACACACACCTGCCCCAGCGCTCCCCAGGGAGGGGGCTGACCGGCTCCAGGACACAAAGTACCCCACAGTCAGGAAGCCAGTGGGGGGCTTACAGATCAAACACACCCAGGGCCACCCATCAGAAGCAGCACACGTGGCCCCGGGCGGCTTCTGTGACCGGTGTGCGTGTGTGCGTGCTACCCCGGCCAGGCCGTGTGAACGAGTGCTCTAACCCCGCCCCACGCATGACCCAGGCTGCAGGGCCCGCAGACGCCGCAGACCTGCCCTTGAGCCCAGCCCAACCCGGCGCACGGCTGGGCCAGGACGGGGCGCGGCGGGGCAGAGCGCACATCCCGTGTCCCGAGGAGCACGCGGGTCCTCCTGGACAGTTCTAGTCAGTTCTCTCCAGCCTCCAGGCGCCTGGAACTTTCCGTGATCAAGCGCGTTCTCTCTGCTGGCGTCAGAGGCCCTCAGTGCTCGCGCTCTCAGGCTCATGCTGCTGTGAGGGCGCCCATCCCCCGTCTGGAAAGTTCTCCCCAGATCACCACCTGCTGGCTGTTATCACAGGGTCCCTTTCAAATGGGAGCTCCTCCCTGCCACCTCAGCCCCGCCCAGCCTGCTGCCGGGTTCCTGCCGCCTTGCCCGGCTCCAGGCTCGGCCCAGAGCTCAGCCCCACCTGCCACCTGTCCACCAGGCTGCAGGCAGCACCCCAGGCACGAAGGGCACGGGTCAGGACTGTGGGTGGAAGGAGGTATTCAACGAGGGAGGCTGGCATTGTGGCTTAGCGGGTAAAGCCACTGCCTGGACTCCAGCATCTCATACAGGTGCCAGTTCGAGGCCCAGGTGTTACACTTCCGATCCAGCTCCCGGCTAACATGCCCGGGAGAGCGGCAGAGGATGGCCCAGGTGCTTGGGCCCCTGCACCCACAAGGCAGCCCCAGAAGAAGCTCTGGGCTCCTGGCTTCAGCCTGGCCCAGCCTCAGACATTGTGGGGGGCTCAACCAGCAGATGCAAGACTTCTCTGTCTCTCCCTCTCTCTAACCCTGCCTTTCAAATAAATAAATAAATCTTACACAAAAAGAAAGGGCCTCCCGCCCCTCCAGAGGTAGCTGTTCTGGAGTGCAATCTTCCGACTTTTCGAGGCTGCTAACAGCACACCACCGTTCACATCTGCCCCAGGCTGTCCCACAGCGCGAGTCACGTCAACAGCCCGCCTCTGCAGACTGCAGCCCTGAAGCCGCAACCACGCCACAGAAAAGCTCTGTAACCCACGTCCCCACACATGGCCACTTTCCCAGGTCTCCTTCCTCTGGCTCGGCCGTGCTCCCGCCTCCCTCACGGGGCCAGCGCCACCTGCTGAGCGCCCGCCCCCTGCAGGCCAGGCCTGGGTCGGGACAGACAGACGGCTGCCTTCTGCCTTCCAAACTTCAGGCACACGCAAGCAAGGACAGCGTGGCGACACACAAGGCCCGGGAACGGGTACCCGGGCAAGCGACAGACCCGCCTCAGCCTTCCTGGTAGAACGGGGGCGAGGGAGGCATGGACGTCAGCCCTGGCTCCCTCGCAGGAGGCCGGACACGCGGCTGCGGCGCTGTGCTGTCACCAGGTCAAGCCTGCATTCCCCACCCTGCTCAGCCTCGGCTCTCACAGGAAGGAAACCCTCCCGTCCAGCTGTGGGGCACCCGTTTCACCTGAGAGCCACGCGGCCTGGGGAGGGGGCGGCAGGCAGCAGCGGGGTGTTTCACCCTGAGGGGAGGGGTCCCCCAGTCCCGTGCTCTGAGCAAGGCCTGTGTGCAGGGAGGCGGGGCGGGCGGTGGTTCTGGGAAGGAACCCTCACGGCAAGATCAGAAACGACACAGTGGGACAATGGGGGCTCAGCTTCCGCTGCTGAGTCGACAAGGGGGGCAGCAGAGATGGGTGGACGACAAGGACGTGGCCCTGAAGTCTGCTGGGGCGGGGACAGAGCAGCCCAGAGGCCCGGGGAGGTGGGACCCAGCTGGGGCTGCAGCAGGAATTCCCAGGCAGCCCTCCCGGGTTGTGTCTGTCTCAGCACGGCAGGGGGTGAAGGCACAGAGGTCATCTCTCAGCAGGAGCCCTCAAGGCCAAGGCCACCTCCTCAGGGATCAGCCAATCCGGGCTCTCCCAGCCCTGCTTACAGAGGCCCTGTGCCGAGAACACACGAGCCTTGTAAATTTCACCCGACACCTGTGCCAGGTGGGTGCTGCTGTCACCCCACGTGCAAGGCAGGAAACGGACCTCCGGACTCCTGAGCGGCCGGCTGCAGCCGGGCCCCGTGCCCAGCTCCGACCCCAGCCCTTACCGGTGCTGTGTCTCTGGCCGGTAGAAGTAGTCCACCGGGGTGTCCAGGCGAGAGAAGATGGGCGGGGGGATGTAGAGCGGCAGCTCCTGGTGGAAGAAGCCCTCCTTCTCCGGCTTCAGCATGAGCAACTTGTCATACATGGACCTGGGCCTCCCGCCCGCCTCCGTGTGCACAGCCAAGTACTGGAAGTCGGACATTCCTGGAAGACAGGCGAGCAGATGGCAGCCACTGGCACCGCCGCCCACAGCGCCGAGGAGGCCCTGCGGAGCCTGGTGGGCGCGCGGGGACCACACCCCTCCCGTGAGCTGCTGCGCATCAGCCCACGGCACCAGGTAGCAGCGAGGGTGAGGGTGCAGGTCGGTAGGGCCAGCGCAGGACAGAGGGTTAGGCCGCCACTGTGCAACGCCATCCACATGAGCGCCAGTTCAAGTCCCGGCTGCTCCACTGCCAATCCAGCCCCCGGTGATGCACCTGGGAAAGCAGTGAAGACGGCTCAAGGCTCGGCCCCCGCCGAGGTGGGAGACCTGGAATCAGTTCTGAGCTCCTGGGTTCAGCCTGGCCCAGTCATGGCCACTGTGTCCAGCTGGGGAGTGAACCAGTGGAGGTAAGATCTCTCTGTCACTCTGCCTTTCAAGTAAATAAACAATATATTTTTTAAATAAAGACGACGCAGCGTGCTGGTGCTGCGGCTCACAGGGCTAAGCTGCCACTAGTGAGGCCGGCGTCCCACAGCGCTGGTTCGAGTCCTGGCTGCTCCACCTCTGATCGAGCTCCCTGCTAACGTGCCCGGGAAGGCAGTGGAAGGTGGCCCGAGTGCCCAGGTCCACTGGATGAAGTTCCAGGCTCTGGCTTCGCCCTGACCCAGCCTCGGCCATCAGGAGTGAGCCAGTGGATGCAAGATCTATCCCCCCCCCCATTCTGCCTTTCAAACAAGTAAACAAATCTTTCAACAACACACACACACACACAAAGGCACAACGTGCGCGGGAAGCACCTGTGCCGCTGTGAAGCAGCCGGGGAGGCGGGGGCTCCTCACCTCCGGCCAGCGCACGTGCACAGCCCGGGGCAGCTCCCGGGGAGACAGCCCCACGGTGTCACGCTGGCGCGGCACGCGGCCCTCTCGGGCAGGCTGACCCCAGCTCCAGCCTTCCGCTCACCACTCCTCTCCTGCCGGCTTCCTCTTCCTTCCTCAATCCCCGCCCCTCAGACGATGCCTGAGAACCACAGTGACCACAGGCATCTCCGACACTGCGGTGCCGGGCCCTGCCCGTTCCCGGGCGTCAGCCCCCGGGCTGCGAGGGCCTGAGGGACCCCCACGGCACAGACAAGGCCTCGGGGGCCGAGGGACGCTCAGAGCAACAGGCAGAGCTCAGGCAGGCCCAGCCGCCGGGTCTGTGGTTCCGCACCCTACTGTCCCTCCCGGCACCGTGCTGCCTGCTCACCGGGACTCCCTGCAGGGGGCAGACTGACTGAGCCTCCGCAGGATACCCGCAATCTGCCAGGAGGGCTCGGGGCTGAGTCAGGCTGGGAAGGGGGGGCAGGAAGGCAAGCCCGGCAGCAGCCAAGGTCAAGGTCAAGACCGGGAGGAGGTCAGAAAGCCTGGGGTGGGGCGGGGGCAGCTGGTGTGGCGCAGTGCCACCTGCTGTGCTGGCAACCCCCCCACCCCGCAGCTGGAGTGCCAGCTCAAGTCCCAGCCACTCTACTTCCGACGCAGCTTCTTGCTAATGCCAGGCAAGGCCGTGCGTGACGGCCCAGGGCCCCCGGGAGACCCAGGGAGGCCAGATGGAGGTGGGCTCCCAGCTTCAGCCTGCCTAGCCCTGGCTAATGCAGGGGATGAAGCAGCGATGCACGTTGCTCCAAGCTGCCCTGCCTTTCAAATACGTGAATCTTTAAAGCACAAAAACAAAAGCAAAGCCAAAACTGAGAGGCGTGCACTGGGGGTGCCCCGTCAAGGTCACACCAGAGACTGCAGAACTCTGGGCGGCGACGGGCCTGCGGGCTCAGGGCGCTGCCCCGGAACGAGCCACGTGCCTGTGCAGGTGGCCCACGTGGCTGGCGCGGGCAGCTGGGACAGCGGCCCCGAAGGGGGGCCTCCACTCACCCTGGAACTTGTAGACGACAGGGACGATGCCGACCACCTCCATGTCGAACGTGATCTCGGGCTGCGCGCCGGCCCCCGGCCGCCGCGTCCTCCTCCGCACGCGGAGCAGCAGGCTGCTGGCGCTGAGGCGGTTGGCGCACACCGGGTGGCAGTACGGGTCCTTGGGCCGGAAGTACAGCTCCAGCCTCTTGGTGGGGTCCGTGTAGCTCTGCGGTGAGGCCGAAGGAGACAGAGGGAAGCCGTGAGGGCCGTGCAGCCGGCAGGGAGCGCTCCTCTCTCCGGTGGGGACCCAGGAAGGGCCGGGGAGCCACATCTGGAGGACACGGCAGCCTGGCCCTCACCCGGCGACAGATCAGGGACCCCCTGTCTTCCAGGACACTACAGCTGCCTGGAGCTCGAAGCCTCCCCTGGCGCGGCTGGGGCTGACTCTCCTTCAGCCCAGAGATCACTTCGGAGGCCCCCCGAGGCTGGGGCGGGTCTGGGCTGCTACTGCCCGGGGCCACCTGCTCTGGGACCGGCCAGCAGTCCTGGCATCCAGCCTCCTGGCGCTAAGGCCCCAGGAGACTAAGTGACGACCACTTTAATCTTCCCTACAGCTTGCCTGCCCGGCTCCTCCTCCTCACAAACCCTAAGCGGCAGGATTGTTGATGCAGCAGCGAAAGCCGCTGCCTGCAGTGCCCGCATCCACACGGGAGCCAGTTCGAGTCCCGGCTGCTCCTCTTCCAATCCAGCTCTCTGCTGTGGCCAGGGAGTGCAGTGGAAGATGGCCCAAGTGCTTGGGCCCTGCACCCACATGGGAGACCCGGAAGAAGCTCCTGGCTCCTGGCTTCAGATCAGCGCAGCTCCAGCCATTGTGGCCAGTTTGGGAGTGAACCAGGGGATGGAAGACCTCTCTCTCTCTCTCTCTCTCTCTCTGCCTTTTCTTCTCTCTCTGTGTAACTCTTTCAAATAAACAAATAAATCTTTAAAAAAAAAAAACCCCACACAATTTATTTAAAAACAAACAAAAAACCACAGCAGGTTAAGCCGCCATCTGCAAGCATGCTGTATGGGCACGAGTTCGAGTCCCGGCTGCTCCACTTCTGATCCAGCTCCCTGCTAATGTGCCTGGCAAAGCAGCAGAAGATGGTCCAAGTGCTTGGGTCTCTGCACCCACATGGGAGACAGGGATGGAGTTCTAGACTCCTGCATTTGGCACGGCCCAGCCCCAGCCGTTGTGGCCATTTGGGGAGTGAACCAGTGGACGGAAGCTCTCTCTGTCACTCTGCCTTTCAAATAAATAAATCTTTTAAAAAAAGGCCGGTGCCGCGGCTCAATAGGCTAATCCTCTGCCTGCAGCGCCGGCACACCAGGTTCTAGTCCCGGTCGGGGCGCCGGATTCTGTCCCGGTTGCCCCTCTTCCAGGCCAGCTCTCTGCTGTGGCCAGGGAGTGCAGTGGAGGATGGCCCAGGTGCTTGGGCCCTGCACCCCATGGGAGACCAGGAGAAGCACCTGGCTCCTGCCATCGGATCAGCGCGGTGCGCCGGCCGCGGCGGCCATTAGAGGGTGAACCAACAGTAAAAGGAAGACCTTTCTCTCTGTCTCTCTCTCTCTGTCCACTCTGCCTGTCAAAAAAAAAAAAAAAAAAAAAAGGTGCCCGTGTTCCGCATCAACGCGTGACTCTCGCTCCTGACGCAGGCCTGGGTTCCTGCACCACGCGGGGCACCGTTGAGGTCCTGGCCACTGCGCATCTGGGGAGTGAACCCGTGGACAGGAGCTCGCTCTTTCAAATAAAGAAATTAAAAAGAGAAAGAAAGAAAAAGAAGGCACCCTAAGAATAGCCCTTACCCTGCAGAACTCTGGGATTCTTAAATAAAAACACGCGTAAAGCACTCAGCCTGGTGCCTAGCGTGTGGCCGGGCTAAGGGGCGCGTGGCCCGCCCTGCGGGAGGAGACTGTGCGGGAAACAGCAACGCAACCGGACAAGGCGCCTGCGCTCCCACACCCAGGTCCACGCCTGGCCCTGCAGACCCGTTCTGAAACACGCGTCTCTGGGTCCCGGTGGACTGGCTACCGGCCCAGCCGAGGGCCCGGCACAGAGGTGCTCAGGAGACAACGAGGCCCCTGCCGAGGGCTCCCAGCGCGGTGGGCAGGCGGACCCGGGGGCGGGCGGGCGCAGGTGTTCCGCCCAGGCGCCGTCTGGGTCATACTGGAGGGGTCAGACCCCGAGCAAGGGCCCCGGTCTGGCCCCGCCAAGGCAACCGTGGGTGGGACCCGCAACTCCTGAACCGTGAGGATCAAGATGTTTTTCCTGTTTCAGACGCTGGTTTCCCTGGGCTGTGGCCAAGGCTCCGTCACACCCTCCACGAACATTCGGCGAGCCGGGCCGGGCCGGCCCGGGTGCACGGGCCAGAACCCAACCTCGGGCTGGAACCAAAAGGATGAGGAGGAGGCTACCAGCCGCCAAAGCCCACGAGGGGCGCCCGCCCGGCCGGGGGCGTGGGTTCCGGACGTGGCCCCCGCGGGGGTCGCGCCCCAGGCTCGTGCACCTCCGAGCGTGCAACGCGGGCAAAGCACCCGCAGCCACCAGCGCCAGCGGAGGCCGGCGCGACAGCCCGTGTCCCCCAGGGGTCAGCCGCGTCCACTCTCTTCCGGCCCCGGCCCTCCGCTCGGGGCGCGGCCGCGCTCGGCGCACGGAAGCCGGACCTGCGGCCCAGGGCTGCGGCCGCACGCAGGGCACCCCCGGCCCCGGCCACCAGGGTCCCCGCCAGCCCTCCCGGGACGGGGCCCACCGCCGGCCACCTCGGCGGCGAGCCCCGCCCACTGGCGCCATGTCCCGTTGCCACGGAAACCGCACCGTCCCCCGGGGCGGCCACGTCGCGGAGAGGCCCCGCTGCTTACTCGAGAGACGCCTTCCTCGCCGCCCAGAGTGGACAGCATCTTGTTCACGTCGCGCACCACGCCGGGGTACTCCACACACACCATGCGCCGCTCGCGTTTCAGCTCCAAAGCGACGGCGGCCCCCGGCCGCGCGTCCGTCGTCCCCGCCGCCATCCCTGCCGGTCGCGCCGAGCCCGCCGCGGTCCGTTCCTCAAAGAGCTCCCCCGACGCTTTGTCTCAAAGGTTCCGCGGAGACATCGTTCCGGGCTCCATCAGCGGTTCTGCGTCCCTACACCCTGAGGTTCAGCGCGACGCGGAGGCCTCCGTGAGTAAACGACTGCCTCGGTCTCGACTCTGTTTAAAATGTAGAGAGTTGACCCGGGGGACCGGGCAAGGCGTTCTCTCTCCCATCAGCCAGCGAGGGACGCTGAGGACTGTAAGTCAACACCAACTTTAGCCAATG